AGGCCCCTGAAGGCTACAGAGGGGCAGGGGAGGAGCAGCTTCCAGTGCCAGCCCCCAAAGCTGCCAGGGTGGCCCCCGGGCCTCCAGCCCCTCAGGCCTGTCCTCCACCTTTGCAGCCTGTGGCAGCTGGGGGTGGACTACTTTGACCACTGTCCTGAGCTGGGCCGAGTCTCCTTGGAGCTGCACATTGAGCGGATCCCTCTCAACACGGAGCAGAAAGCTCTCAAGGTGCTGCGGATCTGTGAGCAGCGGCAGATGACTGAACAAGGTGAGCTGGCCTGCTCCCAGCATGCCCTCTGCCAGGTGTGGCGGGCGGGGAACCTCTGAAGCCGAGCGCTGTGCTCACGACTGAGCCAGGCGCCTCCTCACCAACCAGACCACAGTGAGGCCGGGACTGCCCCATAGCCAGGCAGTGGGTGCCGAGAGGGAAACCAAGACACAGGACACGTCTTAGGGACAGATGCAAGGGCTAGGGGTCCACTGTGACCTAAAAGAAATCAAGCAAGCTGCCTGTTAGAAAAGGTTCTGACCCACTTCTCCCTTCTCTCATAGTCACTCAGAGAGGTCAGGTCTGGGGTCAGCTCTGAGGGTGCCTGTCCTGACTTGGCAGAGAGGCAGCTCTGAGGGGCTCAGGAAGAGCACAGGCCAAGACACAGGTGGGAACAAGATTGGCCCTTCTCTCCCCTCGCTGCCGGATGATAAAAACCTCAGTTACTGGTCTTCCAGAGGCATCTACATGTTTATGACATTCTCTGAAACCATATATGGCTTTTAAGACCAAAAGGATGAAATAAAGATCTTTTCACCACCCTGGAAATCAAATCCACTCATGAAGCCAGTCCTGTGGGGTGGGTTGTTATACTGCTGGCAGAGCTGAGAGAGAATTTATAAACCCAAGTTCCCAATTCTGCCAGCCAAGCCATATTCGGAGCACGCAGGGCCTGGGCTGTGGAAGGCCCGCTCTGATCCCAGCAGGTTTAGGAATGGAGAGATTGTAGAGTGAAGGGCTTGCCTTTTCTCCTCCCTGGCAAAGTTCGCAGCATTTGTAAGATCCTGGCCATGAAGGCTGTCCGCAACAATCGCCTGGGCTCAGCCCTCTCCTGGAGCATCCGAGCCAAAGATGCTGCCTTTGCCACGCTGGTGTCAGACAGGTGGGTTTGCCACGCCAGGGGGCTGGGGGGCTGGCAGGCCTGCGCCTGCGGCTCTGCTCTCACCTGGGCTGGGCCCTGCAGGTTCCTCAGGGATTACTGTGAGCGAGGCTGCTTCTCCGATTTGGATCTCATCGACAACCTGGGGCCAGCCATGATGCTCAGTGATCGACTGACGTTCCTGGGTGAGTCTCTCTGGGTGCCATACCCTGGAACGTGGGCACAGATGGACAGTTAATGAAGATTTGAGGGATCCTTCCAGGCTCCTCCAGTATTTTCTTCTTCTTAAGCCCCAACTCCAAACCATTAGAACCCTGCATACCAGACTCCGCAGAGCGTATTTTTTGGTAAATTTTGTTTTCCGATTTCTGTAAAGGCCTATAGAAAAACTACAAAAATAGTATATGGAATAAGGAAATTGCATATACGCACTACCCAGATTTACTAACTACTGTATTTTATGCAAATAACGCACACTTTCTACATTTGTTTGCCAGCTGCACTCTCCCCCTGCGAGGCATTTTTGTAAGTGCCGCTGTGCCAGTTTTTTTTACATGCTGCTGTAAAAAAAAATAAGCATAGCATACTTACGGAAACACCTTATTGGGGTGAAGGCACGATTGGCAAACAAATGTAGAATGTGTGTTATTTGCATAAAACTATGGTATTTTCTGTTTTGCCTCATGTAATTTTATTCTCTTATCAGCCAATCTTTTTTATTGCAGCAGTTTCAGAGTAGGTTGGAGACACTGTTCCCCCTTCTCCGTAAATCCTTCACATGCATCTCCTAAGAACACGGCAGCTCTCTTATATAAGCATGTTACAGTTGTCACACTCAGGAGACTTAACATGGACACAATGCACTGAGCTCATCCACATTCCAAATTCCAGTTACCGCCTGTCCCAGTCACATCCTTTACAGTTGGGCTCCTTTACTCAGGAACTGATCCGGGTGACGAATTGTATTTCGTTGTCATGTCTCGTCAGTGCCTCTGCCTTTCTCTTAACCTTGATATTTTAGGAGCATTGGGCCCGCTGTTTTGGGGCTGGTCTGACGTCTCCTCATGATTCTATTCAGATTCTGTGTTTTGTGCCACTGAGAGCAGCCTTGCCCCGGTCAGTGCTGCGTGTCCCACTGTTGGTGGTGCTGGCTTTGATCACAGCTCGTTTCTGTGAAGGGCGCTTCTCCCTTGTTTTAACAGTCTGTGCGGAGACACCTCGAGCTTGTTCATGTAGCCGGTCTTCATTAGACTCTCCCCTAGTTTGGGAACCACTGAGGAGTTTGTTACTCCACGTTCCTTCTGTTCTAGTTGCCGTTCTGCTTTCCCTTCTTCCCCATTTATTCACTTACATCAGTATGGACTCGCAGACGATCTGTTCAGTTATAATCCCTGACTCACAGGCTGTCTGGTGCCTGCGTTTTCCCACGTGGCTGTGGAGCTTTCCAGAGTGCGTGCTGAGCCTCTGTGACCTGCATCTCATTGGCTCGTGGGCTTGCAGACAGCTCGTGGTATGGCTGGTGTGGTCTCTCTTGTTTAGGGCCAGGGTGGCTTCTGTAGGTGTCAGCTGGGGGCCACTCAGGCATGTGGAGGTGATCTGGTGCTGTCTGTTCTCAACAGGGAAGTACCGTGAATTCCACCGATTGTATGGCGAGAAGCGCTTTGTTGATGGCGCTTCTCTTCTCCTGTCGTTGATGACCTCGCAGATTGCCCCCCGGTCTTTCTGGATGACCCTACTAACAGATGCTCTGCCCCTTTTGGAACACAAACAGGTAACCCTGAATCCACGAGGTTCTTCTCTGTGTTTCTGTAGGCCTTGCCAGTGTGGTGCTTAGTTCTGGCGGTGTTCCCCACCCCGCCCATCGCACCCACTCAGGAAATCCAATATTCACACCAAAAAAAGACCGCATTTGAACTGAGACAGCTGACTACTGACAGTGCTCAGTCAGGGCCTGACTGGAAGGGCTGGAGTGAGCCGAGGAGGCTGCTCTGCTCTCCCAGGCTTCATGCAGAGAAGATGGAGGAGGAAGAGCATGCCCAAGTTTGGGCCTTGGCCCACATCCGCCGCTCTCCTCTAGGTGATTTTTTCAGCGGAGCAGACGTATGAGCTGATGAGGTGTCTGGAGGACTTGACCGCAGGAAGACCAGGGCATGGAGAGCCTGATGGCCAGGGAGTCCAGGTAATCTGAGTTCTCTGGGCTCCAAAGGGGAGACGGGGAAGGCTCCATCCATCTCAGGCTTCCTCTCCCTCCCAGAACACTGGCCAGCCCCTGACAGACTTATCTGCCTCTTGGCTCTTAGCCTGTAAGTGTGACACACTGGCTTCTTTAAGGAGAAAATGGGGGTGTTGCTACTGTTCTGGTCTCTATCCTTCTTCCTTCCTGTAGATCGGAGAGGACCTGTTTGCAGTGGTCCTTTGCATACTGCTTTCTCTTATGTTGAGAACTTACTGGCAGTTATTTTTCCCTATCTACCTCTGGACTAGACAGAGCCTACCTTAGTTGTAAAGTACTTCCTACTGGGCCTCACGCTGACTACTTGCTTCTAGGATGACGACATAGAGACCACCAAGGTGGAAATGCTGAGACTGGCTCTTGCACGAAACCTTGCTCGGGCAATTATCAAAGAAGGCTCCTTGGAAGGTTCCTGAGGCCAGCCAAGAGCTGCTCCAGCGTGGCATCTTTGTATGACAGTGTGTATATACATTCTTAAAAGAATAAACATTCTCTTTTGCAAATACAAGGCAAGTCCGTCCAGAGTCCAGCCAGGGCGTTTGTGTCTGTATCCACTCTGTAGCTGAGAGAAAAAATTAAGAAAATGCAACTGACTTCCTTACATCCTCAGAAGCCACCCCCAGAATAGCATGTTGTGCCCTCCTGCTTGTGATTCGAAACTTGAGCAAGAGCCTGGGTGGTTCACTGATGCTTCTGAAATCTGGCCTCACCTCAGAATCTTCTGAACACTTGTCAAATCTCTGGATGATTATTATTATTATTTTTTTTTAAAAAAAGGTCCAGGAACCTATACTTTCAACAAAAACCAGGCAATTCCAGCACACCTATCCCCAGCTCTCCCTTTGGAAGCCACAGGTGGCACCGGGCCCCTTCTCCCCCAGGGTGGATGGTGCCTACAGTAGAAGGATTCCAAGTAGGGGGAACATGATTTTATTTAACATACAGCAAAACAAGGGCAGCAGAGTTGGTATCTCCAGTACAGCTGTTTGCCAGGAAGCAGTGACCTCGATAGTAATGAGGGATGCTCATAAATAATTTTTAATGTCTAAAGCTTATTATAAAGGTAAAGTTCCAGAGTAACCGCCCCCCCCCCAGGTCTTCCCAGGGCTGCAGCATCTGGCCTCTGGAAAGCTCCTACTTATTCCCTAAGTAGTGAAATTGATTCACTTGACCTGTCGCAATGAAGCAGTGAAACCTGCTTGCTGAAGAGAGTGAGGGGCTGGATGACCTCTTGACATGGAGTAAAGAAGCCTGGGAAGGAGCCAGGAGGGGACAGGGACTGTGGCTTACTCCATTTTTCCCCAGGAGTCTCAGATGGGATGGCTCTGAGCTGGTTCAGCTGAGCTCAGATAAGCCACTTGCTTTTCCCCAGCCCGTCAGCTGGTGGTTCTACTTCCTGCTGGCCTGGAGTCACTCGCCCAGGCCTGCATCCACCAGAACAGCTGGGGTAAGCTACCTGGGGCTGAGCACTGTTGAAGCAATAGGGTCTGCCCCAAATCTCACACCTCCAGACCCAGCATCCCATTGACAGTGCCCTTAGCAGCTAGGGGTCATTGGGCCTTCTGGGGAACCCTCTAATTAAGACGAAAGGACTAAGTCTAGTGCAAGGTGCCTGAGCCCAAGGCCCTGTGTACAGCTGTAGATGCTACACATCAACGCCGTGAGGTGGGAGGGGACGCAGGGGGCGGCGGGGCTGTCCTCAGACGTGAAGGCAGCCCAGCAGTCTATGCCTTGCCAAGCAAGAGGTAGTGAGCAGGGCGGCCTGGTCCAGGGCAGGGCACACTCTTCTCAGAAGCTGAGGGGCTGCTTCCGGGGAAAACGCCGGGGGCTTGTCTTCACTTTCTTTCCTAGCCCTAGTTTAGGTACAAGGCCAGGTTCTGTTTCTACCAGGCTGGGTTCCATGTCTGCTGTGGTGTCCACAGGACACAGCCTGCCACTGCTGGAGACAAACGCATACAACCTGTTATTCCAGGCTGTGCTGTCCTTCGGTATCCATTCCAGGATAATGCTGCCCACCACGGCAGACTGGGAGATTCCACAGCACACTGATTCCTGGCTCTGTGCTAGGGGCCCACCTGCTGGAGGTGGGGGCTGGCACTGCCAGCAGGGAAAACCAGCCAGAGGATTTGGGAAGCACAGAACAGTAACAGGGCGGAGGCAGCCTCTCAGGCCACGCCTCTGCATGGGTGCAAGGACAGGGTTCTCGAGGGGGGCCCATCAGTCTCTCTCTAGAGACTTCCCCCCCATAGCATCTGGGGATGCTGGTAAAAGTGGGGGGACCTCCTCAAAGCCTTGGGCCTGGGTCCAGGACAGTAGGTGAGTCAGGGGCTACTTCCTACCCCTGACACTATGGCCACTTCAAGTCACACAAGTAATAAAAACAGGTCCTCTTAGGGGCCAAAGAAGATCATCGTGACAGCAGCAGCTCGGCGCCCGGGGCTGGTCCCACATCAGCTACAGGACTGCAGTCAGGATGTGGGCAGATGCTCCCAGTGCCACCTGGTGCGGGCAGCCTCCTGGGCTTCCCAGCGGAGATGCCAGTGTCCTCCGGGGTCATAGGCTGCCCCACCGCTCCACAGGAGGGAACTGGTCCACCTCGCCCACCTCTGTGCTCAGCTGCTCCCCCAGGGCGAAGGTCAGCCTATACCGAAGACGCACCTTCTCCTGCGACAGAGGGGAGCCCATGAGGCCCGGCCTGTGGCCCCACAGCAGGACACCCTCTCACAGCCCTTGCTTTCTGTGCTAGAGGGATGGCACTGCTCCTGCCCCAACCCTTGTTCAGCCCGGCCTTGGGGGGTGGGGGGGAGAATGCGTGTTCCCACTGCAGTGTCATAATGCTGCCCCTGTGGAGGGAGCGGCCAGGGTGGAGGCAGGGCCGGGGCTGGGTGCCAAGGTCCTAACCTTGGGTGGGCTCACCTTCAGCGGATTGGCCAGCAGCATGACCTGGGTGATGGCAGCAGGGGGCTGGGTGGGGCTGAAAGGGGAGAGCTCCGTCCCTGAGGGTGGCTGCAGCTTCACTTTCATGGACTAAAGACAAGGAGGGCAGAGAAGCTCCTTTGAGGTGGAGCTCGCTATGGCTGGGGTGGCCACAGAGGCCTAGGCAGCGGGGAGGTACCTTGGGCACGGCGGCCTGCAGCATGATGCCCCTGATGGGCAGGGGAGCCGTGTTCAGCATGGACACCACCACCACCAGCACGTCAGGCCGCCCTGGCGGGCACTCCTTAGCGAAGTGGAAGAGGATGCGGAAGCCGTTCTTGTCATAGGCTGTCACGGGGAGGGCACTGCCTGCAAGAAGGCGGCATGTGGTGTAGGAGGAAAGGATCGAGGAATCCAAAGGCTCTGGGTGAACAGTCCAGCCTAGTGCTGCTGGGAGGCTCCACTTCCTTCCGTGGTTCCCCTAGGGGTCTGGGAAGGACCCTTATCAGGGGATCCTGGGGCCAAGCAGCTAGAAGCAGTAAAGCTGGGGCAGCAGGGTGGAGCCTGACACTAACGGACCCCCGAAGAAGGGCCTACGTCCCCACCTTACACCTCCCCCAGAGCTGCCCACTGGGCTCCACCTTCCCCCCACCTCCAGCACCTACTAGGCTCGATAGACTCCAGGGGGACGTGGACGCTGGCCAGGGAAAGCTCGGGCCCCTTTGGGGGGCTGCCCTGGGGCTGGAGGAGGGGGCTGCCGGGTACCGCGGGGAAGGGCAGCAGTGGTCTGGCCAAGGCGGCGGTGGTGAGGAGAGGGGAGGGTGCGGCCCCAGGGAAGAAGCTGGAGGAGATGGGCTTCACCAAGCCTGAGGACCTAGGAAGGAGGACAGGAGGCCAGTCAGAGAGCAAGCCAAGCTGCCGGGCCAACCCCTCACCAAGGCCCTGGCCCCTAGCCAGATTCCAGCCACCTGATCAGGCCAGAAGAGTCACTCCCCCCACAGGCGGCCCCTTCCTTGTGCCAAGGCCCAGGCCTAACCCGCACCCAGCCTATCTCTTCCCCTGCATTACACTCTGGCCTCCTCCAGAAGCTGGTCAAGTGCGTCCAGGTGGTGCGGGGCGCTGTCACCCAGGGCTGAGCCATGGTACCCGGGGGTTGCCAGCTCAGCCTTTGGGTCTGGAGCTGTGGCCAGTCCAGTGGAGAACAAGGAGCCTGGACTGGGAGCAGGAACGCTGGCCGGGACGATAGGAGCCGGGAAGGGGGACAGCGGTGGTGCCTGGGAGCTGCTGGCAGGTGGGGCTGCGGGCTGGAAGGGAGAGCCGTCTACAGAGCCGTGGCTAGCAGGGCCCGGCTTGGGGCCAAAGAAGTCCAGGTCAGCCTGTTCATTCTGTCGGGAGAAGAGAAGGGTGGGCGAATACAGGGCCCTAGGGGGTCAGCTGCCAGGCATGGGACTGCGGCACTCCGACCACTGGCCCTCCTCCTCTGGGGCACTGAAGCTGTGCCCGATGACTGTGCACGGGGTGAGGAGTCCCCCAAGAACACGGCCTGAGAAAGGCACTGAGGTGTGCTCAGAGCCCCCCCACAGCTAGCACAGAGTGCCTCAGAAGGTAGGCACAGTGCAGGCTTCAGCTAACGGGGCAGCAAAGAGTGCGTCAAGGTCCTCAAGTACCTTGGTGATGTCGCCCTCACCGCAGCCCTACCTGGAACAGGTGCCACTGGCTATTTCCAGCTGTGTCTTTTGGAGGAACGCTGGGAGCCGGGTCAGTGAGGCCTGAGGACAGAGAGGGACATGGTGATGAGACATGCCCCCCTTGCCTGAGGAAGGGCCACGAACAAAAGTGCCATCAGTGGGTAAAAGGGAGCATGAAGGGGGGCGGTTCTCCAGGCAGCCTCCAGGGAGAATGGGTTCTGTCTGTCCTTCCACTGCTGTGAGGAGCACCCGGGAGAAGGGGTAGAGTACATGACACACAGCCCCTAGTGCCCCCTGTGAAGACAGTCCCCATAGGAAGGACGTGAGAATCTCAGCCTCCAGGACCCTGAACGTGGACGACTCTCCCTGCACCTGAAGCCCCCTCCCTACTGAGGGGCACACAGAGCCTCTCCTCCCCCAGAGGCCCCCAGGGGACCTCACCCAAGCAGAGCAGCTCCTCGTCCAGCAGGGAGAGGGCATTGCTGGTGCCGCTGGTCTCAGGTGGGGCCTCGGCCTGGCTGGACGAGCAGCTGTGCAGGGGGCCCGTGGTCTGAGGGGGTGGCGGGAGGACAGGGATGCCCGATGTGGGTGGCACGGGTATGGGCGCCAGCACTGGGGGCGAGCTGCCCGGCGTGTCGGACTCAGCCAGGTCGATGAGCGTGCCGTGGCTACTGGTGTGCGTGTTTCCTGGATGGCAGATGAAGAGCGACGGGAGGAATTAGGGGCCCCAAGCGGCTGGGTGGCAGGACGCAGTGCCGCCAAGGGCCACGGAAAGCCAGCTGGAGAAGGCAGACGGGATGAGCCCTTTCCACATCCCCTGGCCTCCAGGAAGCCGAGGACCCCTGGGAATGGCCTGGAATCCCCTGGGGATGACGCTGGTCAGCTTGCACCAGTGGCTGATGGAGAGCTGGGGCTGGTCTGGAGGGGCCCAGAACGGGGAATCAGAACATTTTACCTTCTGGGCCGGGTGGGGCTGAGGTGGCCACCTCCCCATTGACGACCTGCCCTTGGATAATTGTTTTATAAGAGTTGATGACCCGGGAGAGGTTGTCACTGGCCTGCAGGATGTCCCCTAGAGACGAACAGAGAAAACCCTCACTCCTGGCTGGGACAACTCCCACCACCACAAAACCTAAACCAAACCCACTGCCATCAAGTCGATTCCAACTCATAGCTATTGACCCTACAGGACAAAGCAGAACTGCCCCATAGGATTTCCAAGGCTGTAATCTTTTTTAAAATTATTATTTCTGAGAATATACACAGTAGAACACACACCAATTCAACAGTTTCTACGTGTGCAATTTGGTGACATTGATTTCGTTCTTCAGGTTGTGCAACCATTCTCTCCCTCCTTTTCCAAATTGTTCCTCCCCCATTAACTCACCGCCCTCTCAAGTTCCTATCTACTCCTTCTAGTAGTTGTCAATTGGATCCCATATGAATAGTCCTCAAAAGAACACAAAGCTCAAGGCAGACATTCTTTACTAGTTACGCTAAACAATTTGGTTTTAAGAAGACTTCAGGATATTTTTAGTTTAAGGTTTAAAGTTTATCTCTGGGCAATCGTTTCATGGGGTTCATCCAGCCTCTATGGCTCTGAAGTCTGGAGTCCACGAGAATTTTAAATTCTGTTCTGCATTTTCTTCCTTTTGATCAGGATTCTTCGATAGAATCTTTGATCAAAAACGTTCAGTAACAGTGGCCAAGGCTGTAATCTTCACAGAAGCAGCCTCCCACGGAGCAGCTGGCGGGTTCGACCTGCCAACCTCTCAGGTACCAGCCGAGCACTTAACCACTGCGCCACCAGGGCTCCTTCCTCCACACACACCCAAATTCCTGAGTCATCTTTCCCAACCACTTTTCCTTGTCACTCACCCAAACTGTTGTCATTGTCCTCTGTCTCACTGGCTAGTTTGAATAACGTCCGCCTCTTGTTCTCACACCGATCAAACAGCTCCTGTAAGAGACCAGATCTGAAAGTCAGAACGACGAAGGCCCTTCGCGGTCAGCTCATTCAGTGCTCAGGCCCAGACAGGCCAGGGCTCCCTAAGTCCTGCAGTCAGCTATGGCAGGGCTTGTCAGCCTCCACCACACTGCACCCCGACTACACGACTGGGACCCCAAGGGCGCTGGGGCGAGTGAGGGGAGGCGTCTCTGCCTGACACTGGCCTGAGGTGCAGCAGAGAAGGCCTAAGCCTGGGGGGCGGCAGAGGCTGGGCAAGCACCAAAGGTATGTCTCTGGAGTCGCAGATGGGTTCACACCCCAGCCCTGCCACCTGGGGCACATTACCTCTCATTAAATGGGGACGCTACCATCTGTGTGCCTGGCTGCCCTGCAGATCAGTAAGGTAATGAGTTCCGAGCGCACAGCCAGGCTCAACAGCGCGGGTCCTCAGTGGCAGAGCAGCGCGCCTGCGAGGCCGGCTCCTCTCCAGACGGCAGGCCTACCTGCATGAGCTCCTTGTCGGCCTCTGAAGAGTCCTCTTTGCTGTAGTGAAGCAGCATCTCGTTGAGCAGTCTGACATTGTTGTTGACCTCTTCCAAAGTGTGCAGACGCTTAGTCACCTTCTGGATCCGGGCCTCATCCTGCACCATCGGAGAGGAGCAAGGAGAAAGCTCAGCAACACTGGTCTTCTGACGTCCACCCAGAAGCCCACAGGCCAGGATGGCCCCTTACCACAGCACGAGAGTGCCAAGGCCAAACCCCACTGGCAGCTCCTGCTGATGGCACGGTTCTTCGGATCCACGTGCCTCTGACTCATGTGAACTTTCTCTCTTCCAAAAAACCATTTCCCACCCCCCACCCAAACTGGGCTCCATCAACTCCTGCTTCTCTATCCCATTCTCTCCCAGAAGCTACGTTTTTCCTCCCGTCCTCTGGCCTCTCCAGGGGAGAACAAACAGGTGTGACACCCAGTGGAAGAGACTTCTGCCTCTGGCTCCAGGTGCCTCCCCCACACCCTGTGAGCCCGGCACTCACTTCCTTCACCATGGACTTGATGAGCTTGTTGGCCTCCTGCAGGTCATCGGGGTTTTTGCTCTTCAACAACTTGGCTAAAAGCTGGAAGAGGAGGGTACCAAAGGTGAGGGGAAGAGGGAGCCCCCACCCAGGAGACCACAGAGAGACCAGATACCAGCGGTGCTGAGCAAGACCACGTCCACCCCTTGCTGCCACCCTCACCTGAGAACCCCAGCCTGGGGCGTACTTTACCTTGGACTTCTCTTCATCATCAAACACGGGGTTTTTGGGACGAGGGGGTGGGGAGGGGATGAGTGTCCTGTCAGCAGGAATCGTGGGGTCAGAGTGCACGATGCCTGAAAGGAGACAGACCGTACTCACTCAGCCTCAGGCTGGCCCGGCACATGCCAAGGGGACCCAGCCCTGTGAGCAGGACCAGCAGGGGACAGGGCAGCTGTCCCCATCAGAACCCCGGCGAGGCCTTCTCCTGTGATACATGCCATTTCTCTGAGGGAGGGAGGGAGGGAGAGAGGAAGCCTGGGGGCCTGAAACCTCCCTTAGCTCTCCCTGCCCTGGGCAGCCTCCGAGGTCTGCTTGCAGGCGGAAGGGAGGCAGACACGCACCTTGTCTCTTCAGCATGTGGTAGGCATCCTTGATCTTTGATTCTTCCGGCAGGGCCAG